ACCATTCTTTGATTTATAATTATCACAGATAGTAACCAGTCTAACTTGGGCCATAGAAATATATGGGATACTGTATAACTATAGTGTTTGCAATGATTGCAACAGTGAATTTATTTAAAACCACAAAATTAGCAATGTGTATTTTTTGATAGATAAAACAAGTTAAAATATGTGTTCCTTTCAAATACATATTATTACTGTTAAAAGTGACTGCATATCACTTCTAACATATAAACATGTGACTATGTTGTAGCCATTGATAAGCTAGCCAAAGAAAAAGTCATAAAAATTAAGTCTGTATTTATTCATGTATTTCTCCATTAATTTAGTATGTAGTTATTTAATACCTGCTATATTTAAAACACTGAGAGAGGGGCTCCTGGGTGGCTCAGTAGGTTAAGCAACTGCCTTTGTCTCAAGTCCTGATCCGGGGGTCCTGGGATTAAGTCCCACATGTGTTCCCTGGTCAGAGAGGAGTCTGCTTCTTCCTCTCCCTCTGCCCCTCCCCCCACTTGTGCTCTCTCTCAAATAAATAAGTAAAATCTTTAAAAAATAAAAAAATAAAGCACTGAGATAAGGACTAAGAACAATGACTAGGACAGGCATTGTCCTTATTCTCAGTGGGTTTATATTTTAACCAGAGAGATAGACATTAAACACTAAACCAGGTATTATTTAATTATATTGTGAAAACTGCATCACAGTAGAACTACAAGGTACTCAAAGACTAGAGAACAAAGGTGCTGGCTAAACACTACATGGTGAGGGAAAGCCTGCAGGAATTTGAGACTTGTAAAATTAAGGAGGAAGAGTTTGTGAAGAATGTTCTAGGCAAACAGAAGAGCTAAGCCTTAAGACAGGAAGGAAGAATGGTGGAACTGTAGAGTTAAAAGACATTAGAATCGGAATCTAGAGTGCTGATCATGGCACACAAGCCCAGAGTCATCTCATTTAATAAATCTCTCCTCACCCCTGGAGTCATAAATACATAGGCAGTAAATAAAGCCATGTGATTGTTGGAATTATCCAGGACGGTACAAAGAAAACTGGGTCAATAACAAAACTTTGAGAAAGCCTTAACAGTCAGTGTTTAGGTAAAGAAGGTCAAACCAACAAAGGCGACTAAGAATGAGTAGTCAGAGGGGTAGTAGGGACACCAAAGCCAAGGAAAGGGAGTGACTAGACATGTCAAATGAAGGGTAAAGTGGGATAAAGTCTGACACGCGGCTGGCCAGATCAAAGTTTTCAAACTGGGATGGATGCTGTGTAGAGAACAAAGGGAAATGAGCCTAGAAGGCTGGTGGATATAGAGAAAGCAGAGGGGTCAGTGGAGCTCGGATTCTGTGAGATCCAAAAACTGTCCTGGTGGAAAAAGCAGTGTTGGAGATGGGAGCTTGGCTGGACTACAGACAATAAAGGTTAGGAGATTAGGTGAGAGAGGAACACACTTTGTGATTTTGGAGATGGAAAAGGTTGTTATGACAGGTTTCAGGTGTGACTCTGGGAGTGAAAGTCTAAGGTAGAGAAATGGAAAGTTCATTTTAATAAAGAGATCCAGTCAGGGTGTTGAGTAGAATGTCTGTGTAGATGTGAACATCAACCAGGTTCATGGGGCTGGAAGGGAAAACAATAATCCAGTCTTTTTATGAAGGATGGATTGTGACTAGAGATTAGTAGATGGATGGTTCCAGCAAGAGGGGAGAGGGGCGCCTGGGTGGCTCAGTTGGTTAAGCGGCTGCCTTCGGCTCAGGTCATGATCCTGGAGTCCCAGGATCGAGTCCCATGTTGGGCTCCCTGCTCAGCAGGGAGTCTGCTTCTCCCTCTGACCCTCTTCCCTCTCATGCTCTCTATCTCTCATTCTCTCTCAAATAAATAAATAAAATCTTTAAAAAAAAAAAAGAGGGGAGATGGAGCATAGTTATCTGGCAGGAATATCAAAGCAGCAGGGATTTTTAGCAAGGAGGTCAAGGTGCAATGGACAGTACAATGGGCAAGAATATCATCAACCTGAAGGTATCTAGGGTGTGGAGGAATAAGCAGCCATCTTTGTTTGCAGGAGAAGTGCTGTCCTCAGTGGAGAATGGAATTTTAGTCAAGGTAGGGAGGTAGAAACAATGTTCTGAAACAAAGTTGGATATGTACTGAAAATTGCAAACTACAGAGCAAAGTTCTGAAGGCACCATGGAGGAATCCAAAGGATAAGAAAGAAGAGAGAGAAAGAGGAAGGGATTGATGCTTAATGGAAGGCAATTGGGCAGTGAAAAATGGAGCATTGTGGGGAAAATCAATGCCTATGAATGGTTTGGAGAACCTGGGAACTGGAGGGAGGGGCTGACTATAAGTAAACAAGGTTGAGAGAATATGGCAGTGTCAGTAGCTTAAGAGACATCTACCTCCCTTTACATTAGGACTAGGGAACAGGAGCCTGGCTGTACCAAGTAAAGCTAAGGAGAGACTGGAAAACTTGACGTGGCTAGACAGAGGAGACCCCAGTGTGGGGCATGCCTCTAGAAAAATCGGGTTCTTAATTATTGAAATGCTAATGTGTTCATAAAATGCCCAATCTGCCAGAGGTTTGCACCAAGTTGCACCAGGCCTGTGCAGTACTTGACCCATTATGATCAAACAGTCAGCCTTGATCTGCTCAGGCTTTCATTTTATAGATATCAGGTTTAAGAACTTTATTTAAATTCTGTGTTTCTTCTTTGAAGTCTGGGATATATTATAATACACGTAATTTTCATGACCTTACATTTAGTCATCCAATAATTTGACATAATAATGTATTTTCCAAAGGCATCTAACATCAAAATCAGGAAAGTACTTAAGTGCTGGTTGAATCTGCTTCTTTTCAAAGCTATGTGCTAAGACAAACTATGTGTCAGGCCTGACAGTAAATTTAAAAATTCAAACTGAGTGATGGACTTACATTTTTGTTGGCTGTGGATGAGTCAAATATAAGCAGGTGTAGTGGTTTTGTTTTGGTCAATACCAACATTCAAACCCTGATCTTTTGAGTTGCCCTCTGTAGTATCACCTGGATCCCATCTTTTGTTATTAGAGAAGGAATTTGAGAATTATCTGCAAATGACTTACCACACTCTATTTTTTAAAAGATTTTATTTATTTGTGAGAGAGAGAGAGAGCACAAGCAGGGGGAGTGGCAGGCAGAGGGAAAGACAGTCTCCCTGCCGAGCAAGGAGCCCGATGCGGGACTTGATCCCAGGACCCCAGGATTGTGACCTGAGCCGAAGGCAGACACTTAACTGACTGAGCCACCCAGGCATCCCCCACACTCTAGTTTAATTCTCCACTTAAACAATTTAAGAAATTATGTTTGAACAATTTAAAGTCTGAGACTATGTCATATTTACATTTGTATTCTCAAACTGTACCCAGTATCTGGGATTCTATAGAATTCTAACGGCTCTTGGAGATATCATTTATTTATTGCCATACAATGCTGCATACTTACCAGAAAAACTTAGTGCATATAGCTAAAACCACATTTATTTAGTACATGCAGCTGTGAACTTCAGCTGACCTGACTTAGTTTCAACTGATCTAGGCTGGGTTCACCCAGATGTCTGGGCTTCTACTGGCTGTTGGTTGTCTGAGCTCTGATGACTAGGGTAACCTGACTTTACTCTCTGTCCTGCTCAACCACCAGCAGGCTAGTCTAGGCATGGCATAGTAAAGGGACAAGAATGACCGAGGTTAATTGTGCAAATATCTTTCAATTCTCTGTTTCGCATGTGCCAATATTCTATTAATCCAGAAGATGTCACATCATGACTCAAAAGTCAGAGTAGGAGGGCATGGCAAAATTACATGGAAAGGATATGATACAGAGAGAGGTGAAGAATCGGGGCCATTAGTGCAACCAGTTCACCACTGGTTTATCCATTGAATGGATAAATGAACAAATGGATTGTAGAGTGGCATGAAGAGCACTGGACTAAGAGTTGGGAGACATATCCCTGAGGCTCAGCACCATTCATTCTGTTTATTTGGGTCAATTATTTAGTTATGATGGGTAATTTCCTTATTGGCCCTTTACAAGCTTTAAAAGCCTTTGATTCAAGCTTTTAATGAATCTTTTAATAAATTTAATGCTGTACACAGTCTGTAGGAGGAACTTAAGGAAAATGATTCATCATCCTATCCTTTAGTGAACCAAAATGGTTAATGTGGATGGCCAAAGTTGAGTGGCTAACTTTGACTGTATGAATCTTTGAATATTATGTAACCATATTTAAACTGAAAATTTTCTAGTCTGAATTTGGATATGAAGCAAAGCGCTGAAAGTTCAATTTCCTACTTAGGTCTTTAGTTTTTGCTCCTCTCTGATGATTCTTTTGAAGTGTACAATATGACAGTATAACATCAAACACTATCACATCTCTTATATGGGAGATATGTTTTAAGGTCCATTGATGTTGTGCCTTAATAATTCATTGTTAGGATGAATTATTATTCTTAAAGTGACTGGAGGAGCTTTGTTAAGTTTGCATAATGCTGATAAAAATGTGGGTTAAAGTAGATGTTATGATTTGTTTTATAAAAAGCCTACAGATAATGCAGAAGTGAAACCTCCTCTTCATTATACAATGTGTAATTATGTGATATATAATGAAATGCTGGATAATTTAACTAAAAGAATAAAAACTGAGTGAAAATGTTTTAAATGAAAAATATCTTATAAGTTTCACAAGAAGAAAATGATATACTCAAATGGGATTCGAAGATGATTTTCTGAGTCTGAGAGGACTTATTTTGGTCACTTAGATCATTTCAAAAATTCCATGCCTAGATTACCAAAATATATTGATGAAAGGGTAATTTGTAAGTCACTTTGACATATAGAATGTTCTGATTCAGATATGCAAACATAACTTGCCATATGATGAATGTTTATCCTTGTTATATCTCTGGGAATCATTTATTTTGGACTGATAATTTACTTGTGAAATCAATCACTCTGTCCTGTGTCATTTCAGAGTCTCCATGTAGACATATCCAAGAAACTGCACTCAAATCAAGCTGGCCTGGATTCAAAAGTACCAGTTGGTTGTCAGAGTGATTTGGCTGAATTGGAGAAAGAGAGAAGCAAGAGTGGGGCAACTCAGCTAGTAGCCACCAGTGTAACCACAGGTCGGTGGAGCCGCACGATACTGGTTTTAATTGTCTACGTGCCACATGCCTAATTTACAGATTCTAACTTCCACTTTGCTTGGAATATAAGGCTCTATCAATGTGACTGCCTCAACTGCAAATCTCATGGGAATGTTTTAGGGGCGCCTGGGTGGCTCAGTCGGTTAAGTGGCCAACTCTTGATTTCGGCTCAGGTCATGATCTTGGGGTGCTGGAATTGAGCCCAGTGGCAGACTCCACGCTCAGTGGGGAGTCTGCTTCAAGATTCTTTCTCCCTCTGCTTCCCCACCCTGCTGCGCATCCTCTCTCTTTCTCTCTCAAAGAAATAAATAAATCTTAAAAAAAAAAGAAACATAGTTTTAAGTGCAGTGTAATATTAAACACAATAATGATAGGTCTGTTCATTTTTCCTTTTTATTAGAGTTTTCACTTATGGTTTTCATGGCCAAGAAGTGTTTAATATTGCTTGTATTATGACAATAATGTTTTTAAATTTTTGCTAGCATTAACAAAAGGATTAATGGCTTGAGAAGAGGTTATAGTAATTGAGATGCCTTTAAAGATGTGTCAGATATATATACAATGGAATATTATGCAGCCATCAAAAGGAATGAAATCTTGCCATTTGCAATGACGTGGATGGAACTGGAGAGTGTTATGCTGAGCAAAATAAGTTAATCAGGGTGATAGACATTGGGGAGGGTATGTGCTATGGTGAGTGCTGTGAATTGTGCAAGACTGTTGAATCACAGACCTGTACCTCTGAAACAAATAATACATTATATGTTAAAAAAAAATAAAAAGAAGAAGATAGCAGAGGGGAAGAATGAAGGGGGGGGAATCGGAGGGGGAGATGAACCATGAGAGACTATGGACTCTGAAAAACAAACTGAGGGTTCTAGAGGGGAGGGGGTGGGGGGATGGGTTAGCCTGGTGATGGGTATTAAGGAGGGCACGTACTGAATGGAGCACTGGGTGTTATACACAAACAATGAATCATGGAACACTACATCAAAAACTAATGATGTAATGTATGGTGATTAACATAATATAATAAAAAAAAGATGTGTCAGATAAATAACCTAATGTAGATTTGAATTACGATAGTTTTGTTTCAAGAGATGATGATCTGATATTTTTCATCTCTACTAAAAGCAAAACAAGAGCAAATGGACTTGTGGAGAAGTTGATAGCGTTCAGACTAACTTCCATAATGTAGAAATCTGGGATGAGTTAACAAGGGAAATGAGAATTTTCTTTCTTGACAATATTTTAGGCACACCAAAGCAGCTCAATTTCTGTTACACTTTATCTTTGAAACTTCATATTTCATTTGTAGGAAAATGGAAAGTGTAATTATTCTTAAGCATATGGTTTGTTCCTTTCCCCTCCTTATTTGGTTTTGTAGCTAGCACTCTTTTTTCCTCCAAGGGCATGTAAAAGTCAAAATACTAGATATAAAGTCTCTGAAGTGTTTCTGCTCAAACTCTGTCTGTACAATCTGGGTTCTTTCATGTAGTTAGCTTACTGGCTTTTGACACTTCTATAAAAATATCCCATAGAGCTTTTCTTATTGCCTTTTCATTGACTCTTGCTGAGTGATAAAAATGAAATTCTGTAAAGGGCTTTGAAAACCATGCATATTGCAATTCCTGCAAATTTCAAATACCAATCAAGCGTGACCATAAAGAAAGAATTACTGCAATGAATATTGCTATAGCATGTTGAGTCTTGAGCCATTATTAATTCATTGAAAACTTTTTTTTTCCCCTTAAGATTATGGATCCTAAAAAGTACCAGATAACGAAATTCCTGAGATCAGAGTTTTTGTTTCAATCGTGGGAAGACTTATCTGATCTACCCCTGTGTGTGCATCTTCCTGGGATGGTACGGGACAGACCCCACTTTGCCCCCTGAATGAATAGTGCAGAGGATGTTACAGACCAGGGTAGCACGTGCTTGAACATGTTGCCTGTACATGGTGGCTTAAGAAAAAAAGAAGACCTGGGATTACAGTAGTGTTTTTTTTTTTTAAGGTTTTTATTTATTTATTTATTTAGAGAGCACAAGCAGGGGGAGTGGGAGAAGGAGAAGCAGGCTTCCCACGGAGCAGGGAGCCCGATGTGGGGCTCGATCCCAGGACCCTGGGATCATGACCTGAGCCGAAGGCAGACGCTTAACCGACTGAGCCACCCAGGTGCCCCTTACCATAGTGGTTTTAAGCAAGTGAGACTCCTAACATTTTCAAGAAGAGTAAAATGACGTCTTCTTATTTAGGTTACTTAGAAATTATTTAGCATGCTCATCTGGAAAATGTCTTCATTTGCTTTCCCATTTGTAATTACATCTCGGAATATCCAGTAGCCACCGTGGTCAGGAGGGGCGAATGATATCCTTTCTGAACTTTCACCTCTTTTTAGTCCTTGGACATAAGTCAGTCATTTCTTAAATCCTCTTTGGGCAAGAACGGCAAGTCTTTGTAGGACATCACAGACAAAAAACAAAAACAAAAATCTTATTAAGACAGGGGTACTGCTTCTCCAGGTTTGCTCCTTCTAGACACCCAGATCTTATTCTTCCAGTTAGATGACGTAGAACCAATTCAAATATGTATCTAATAATTATACCAAAGGGAATTCTTTATTTTGGAATGGAGTGTAAATACCTGGAAGATTCACTGTGATTGGCTGCATGCACATTGTGTGAAGGGAGTTTGCTGTACTGCAGCGAGGAGTTGGCAATAAATTGTACCTCAGGATCCGTGCTGTCAGGCCTGGTTCCTCTTCCCTAAGCAACTGATGAAAATGCTTCACCCGATCTCCTGCATGACCTTCGTCTGTGGGTCCTTGATTCACTCTGGTTGCTTGGCAGCCTGGCAATGCCCCTGTCTTATTTTAGGAACTTTGCTCTTAAGTCTGTACATTGTTTTGTCCATAAATTACTAAAAGAACAGTCCTCTGAAAGTAGGATGATTAAGTGGTTAACCTTGGAGTCTGAACTCAGACTGCTGGGTTTAAATCTTGGCTCCCACTTGCTAGCTGTGTACCATGAGCAATTTGTTAATGTCTCTGTCTCTTTATTTCTAAAATTGGGTTAATAACAGTGCTCCACCATAGGCTATTTTGAAGACTACATTAGATGAAGTGGGTTAAAGTTGGTACAGGACATCATAAACTCCAGTTGAATAGTAGCTATTATAACTAACTTCTGCATCTTTATGAGCTGATGGCTAAGAAAAACTTTGCTTCCGGACAGCACAGTATCTTCTGCAAAGTGCTGGCCATGCCCACCTGCTGTGGCTCCTGCGGTCTCCGAGTTTCTGCTTGCACTCTTTCCCTTTGGAAACTGTATCCTCCTGGGAACTTCATGGCCTGTCTGAATCCTGTGGTCATGGAAGTTGGGTGGAAACCTTTCAAGATGAGTCACTGACTCCTCTGAGTCCAAGAAATAGTGCAATTTTGCAGAGGCCTGGAAGCCCTAATGGACATCTTGCCCATCTTCCCTTAGCCATAATAGCTCAGGAAGAGCACAGGACTCTGCTGGTTATTTGGTTTAAGCTCTATTTTTGGTAGGCAACATGTGTGAAGTCCAAATGTTTGTTTTAAGTGATTTGTTTCATGTCCAGTTTCGTGGGTGGAACATTCACTGGGAAGTGATCTCAGAAACAACGCATAAAGCAGAGGGACAAAAGCAGGTCTGGGCAGAGGGGGAAGGTGAGTCATAATACAGTCACAACAAACACCTTTGCTGATCCCACCGGAAACCCTGGAGCTGGTGTGGCTCTTCGGAGTTGTCCTGTGTTGGGGTGAGGAGGCCAGGCCTTTATAGCCCCCGCATCACTCAGTCACTGGATACTGCGACTCCTGAGAAGGGGACAGGACTGTGGGTGAGGTGGCTTCCTTCAGCTGAGGGCAAAGTCACTTAGTATCAGGATATGATCAGAGAGTTGTAAAGAGGATCTGGTTATTACGTAGGTCACTCGTGAATTGCAGAGATTGCTTCTGGTGGTCTGACTGCCTGAACAGGGGTTTCCTCCTTATGTGTCTCTTAGAAACTGCACTCTTTGCCAGAAGGGATGGTCTTCTAAATATGCGTGTTTGTTTTTGCCCTACATAAATGTTCTCCACTGAGCAAATTTTACACTCTCCCGAACAAAGTTATCTAACGGAATTTTTTTTCTCTCGAAACTTCAGGTACATACCTTCTAATTATTCCTCCATCTTTAGATTAAATGCATGCCATGACTTGTCCTCCATAAATTCAACTTGTCAAGTAGTGAGAAAAGCCTCAGGCCAGAAAACAAAAAGCAGGTACCCTAAGGTCTAGTCCCCACTCTGCCACTGCTAGATGTTTTGCCCTTCACAGGCCATTTCATTTTCCTGAGTTATACTTTCCTCACCCAAATAGGAAGTATACCAAGTAATCTTTGTGCCCTGTCAGTTCTGAATGCATGAGATTCTGTGGCCTAATCTGATACCATTGAGCAATGCAACTGTTGGTCATCTTTAAGCAAGATTCACATAGAAGTGATTCACCACATGTAAGAAACTACATATTGTGGTAAATTAAACAGGGGAGAGAAAACACTCTCCATGGAAAAACTCATCACTGAGGTCACAGTAGAAGCTACAAATGAAGAATGGATCTATAGGAAAATAAATTTTTCAGATTTTATTTATTTGAGAAAGAGAGAGAGAGCAGCGAGAGGGAGAGAGAGAATCTTAGGTAGAATCCTTGCTGAGCACAGAGCCTGACTCGGGGCTCCATCCCACGACCCTGAGATCATGACCTGAGCTGAAATCATGAGTCGGATGCTTCACTGACTGAGCCACCCAGGTGCCCCAAGAAATGTTTATATTAGATTTTGATTTAGCCTTAATATTTAATCTAAACTTCAGATTTTACTTATGAGAAATAAAACATGAGGTGGTTCTCTACCAGAACTACTTTGAGAATTAGAAAAGACTGGTGTTCTGTATTAAAGACCTTGACTGACGAATGACAGAATACATGCCATCAAGAGACGGGTACTTTAGATACCATAAAACATATT